TAAATTCCTTAAGCCCCGGCCCCTGTAACTTGTTAATCCTGGCTCCGCCATTGGATACATTTCTTATTTATTACTCCCTCCGTCCCATTAAATTCTTCCAACTTTCCTTTTTAGGTCATCCCAAAAAATTCTTCCAACTTTCACTTTTGGAAAAATTGTGTGGTTCACATTTATTTACTTTTTTCTTATACAACTACAACCATACATTTTCACTTTATTCTCACTTTTTAATTTGCGAGCCAAATCAAACTAAGAAGAATTTATTGGGACGGAGGGAGTACTGCACTATACACTCCTTTTGTATACTTCAAAAAATTAAAGCAATCTAATATCAAACATTAAATAATGTTGGCAAAATTAACATCAATAATTCGTACTATGACACATTTTACCGAAATAATGCATACAGAAAAAGTCCGAAACAATAATCCCAACCAGTTAACCTTTTCACAAAAATAAACCGGGTACTTATGATTTTAACTTTTCTGTTAATTTCTTTTAATTTTAAATATAATGAAGCAATAATATATATAAGCATTCACGGTATTATATTTGAGTGTAATCTTATTTCTACTACAAATTTAATTTATCATTTGAAAACATGCTCATCAAGTTGTCTATTATATTTGAGTATAGCCTTAATACGGAGTAAAATTTTTTATATTAATTTTCGTTATTATTATAAAACAAATTCTAAAGTAATCGTAGTAATACTACATTACTAGTGTGTACCCGTGCATCGCACGGTAAGTTATGTGTATAAAGTTTTTCTTAAATTTATAGGGACCATCGATTGTGTATGAATTTGTCAATCAAAGATTGAAAGAGAACTCAATTGACTATATATAGATGTCAAATTGAGTCGAACTCAATCGGGCTTGCTCGTTCCGTGGTGGGTTGTACTTTATTAACCTAGTTAACTCACTGGTTTCGCGGGTCAACATGCACAGGTTGTGGTTTGACTACACAACTTGCGATTTGATCAAAATATAAACATTTAATCTTGACTTTCACTATCTTAATTATTATTTGTTTACTACCAAAATTATTTAAAACTATTATATACTTACTATTTAACAGCAACCTTCGTTAACCTACTATTTCTATAATAATCAATCAAATAAATTATTCCTACATACTTTTTATTTTGTGGTTGAAAATAATTTTTTAACAATTAGTAGTCATTGTTTACAAATATATACTCAAAAGATCTAATTATATCCTTATTTTTCTACGATGAGTTCCTTTGATCAATGTCATCTAATAGTTATGAAATATTAGTATAACTATGTGATGGATATATATTATCCTGGACCGGGGTACCCAAGATAATGTATTTCTTATATTGGGCCTAGCCCGTTATTCTTTAGATCAGCACGTGGCATTCTGTAAGCCCATGTGGCCTTCATATATGTAGCTTACTTCATGTTGCAACCCTAACTTTTCCGTACGCCCATGTGGCCTTCATATATGTAGCTTACTTCATGTTGCAACCCTAACTTTTGGAGGACCCTAATTCATTCATACTACACAAATGAATTTTTTAAGAGGTTCAATAGGTTCTACAGAACATATTCCTCGATTGATGTGTCCCCAAGTTTTTATTAATTTATTAGTGTTATATAGTGATATTATATATTAACATTAATTAGTAAAATACAATGAGTAAGACAGAAAAATACAGATCCATCATTTTTTCGTCGGTCTTTTTTGTTATCTTTTATTAAAATTGCTTGAGTAATGAGGCATGTCCTTTAAATCAAGTATAAAGTAACTTTTAGATTTTTTATTACATTATTATATTTAATGAGTATTCAGTAGATTTGAGTACAAAAATTTAGATTGATTTTTTAAAATTTTTTATATTCATGTGTGGCCTCAATCTTACCTTTGGAATCGGGCCTCCAAATTTTTATATTAATGTATACCTATGATGCATTTCATTGTTACATGTCATTACTTATTTAAATTTTAACAAATCAAATACACAGGCAGTGAGGGCATAGGGGAGGCCTAGGCATGAAAAAATGAATGTTTGTAGATCCAATAATTATTCTTTATATATGATGTCAGTGTGATTCTATTTTTGCTTTCCGGTCCAATCTTTTAATAGTTTATATGATTTTTTTATATAAATGTAGGTATTAGTTTTTTTTCAGTGTTAGATATTCATTTTTTCTTACTAAGATTTATCGTGTCATTATCTGTGTGATTTACCTAGTTTCTTATGTGAGCATTATTTTATTGATTTGTTAAAATGTTGCTCTTATGCAAATTAATATTTATTTCATTATTTTCAAATTTTTATTATTATGAAGGTGTTTGACATAATTAAATTTTCTTCATGTTTTACAAAAAGAATTTCTAGATTTTTTTTACTTTTAATGGACAATTTTCTCGCTCTTTTTGTTTAAATGTACGATAGATAGTCTCACTAGAAAATGATTATTACCCTCGATTCTTGATTTAATTGACTTTAACCAAAGCACATTCTTTGTCAAATACTTAGGCATTCCATTAGCACCTTTAAAAATCTCGGTTACCCAATACTCTCCTCTTTTGGATACAGTGATTGGTTTTTTGAATGCATGAAATTGTAAAACTCTTTCCTTTGCAGGGAAACTTGAATTAATTAAATCTGTACATCAAGGTGTATAATCTTTCTGGCTACAAGTGTTTCCTGTACCCCATACCATTCTGGATAGGGTGATATCTTTATGCCGGATCTTTTTATGGGGGAGCAAATATGATAAAGTTGCATGGATAAACCTATGTCTTCCTAAAGAGGAAGGTGATTTAGGCATACGTGATTCCAAGGTTTGGAATGCTACCTTGCTAACCCAAATCCTTTGGAATATCCACTCCAAAGAGGATACACTTTGGGTAAGATGGATCCATAGCGTCTACCTTAGAGGCAGGGACAGATCCAAGGGGGGGGCGCGGGGGGGCGACCGCCCCCCTTGGACTTCCAAATTTTTCTACTATATATATAATATTTTCATAAAATTTTCATACTTTAATTAGGCATATATGTTTTCGCCCCCCTTAACTTTAAGTTTTCAAAATTAATATATAGGCTCACATAATGCAATGCTTAATTGGAGATTTAAAAGAAGTAGAATCTAAAATAATTTACATAACTTAAAAAAATAAACAATAGAACTCGTTGTTTAAGACTTAGGGTACCAAAAAATTCTTAGTTTTGTAATGTTTAATTATTTTTATTAGATAATTAGTACTCGATTTTGTAAGATATCAAAACATATTGAATATCAGATACAGTAGTTAAATAGTATAAATGTTTGTTGACATTAAATTACACATTTCATTTACCTCTTACTTTCTAAAAACAATTTGTTGAATAGATAATACTTTAACTTATTTTAGAATTAATGCAAATATAATATGCACCAAATATATATGAATTAACATTACTATGTATCATATTATTCTAAGTATAGTAATCTCATGCATACTATTGTAATATTAAGAAAACTCATCATGACCCACAAATACCCTTCTTGGTAGACAAAAATCTCAATTCAAAAATCAATTCTTTATCCTGTTAAGAATCATGTGATTAAACAAGGCATAAGTTACTTAAGAAATATTGGTTGATGTGTACCTTTAACTTTAACCACTTTACCTTCAAATAATATCATAAAATGTTATACTACGTATATCATATCCTTTCTTATTTTCAAATAATATCCCTTTAATTTGTCATTTCTTAAGCTTTAATGTATAAATTTTTTTTTCTCGAGCACTTATAGTTATTAAATCAAAGTTATATTTTCATTGTCTATAATTAGAATTAGAATATAATAGATTTAATTGTCATCGTGTATGTAGTATGTACTAATGGAACTTTTTAAATAAAAATTAGCCACAGAGCCCTACACTAGCGAAAAATCGCCCCGCTACACTAGCGATTTTTTCCCGTTCCGCTTACTAGCGAAATTTTTTCACTCCCTACACTAATGAAAAAATTTCGCCCCCCTTGACTCGAAATCCTGGATCCGTCCCTGCTTAGAGGCCAATCCGTGTGGAGTTTCACTCCACACTCAAGGGACTCCCAATTAATGAAGCGAATGGCATTAATAAGGGACCGAATTTGTGCGACGTTTGCAACAAAAAAATGAGGTTATTATGATGTTAAATTCCTTTTGTGTGAATGGTAAAATATCTTCCTCGAAGGTCTATGATCTATTACGCATTTGTGGTACAGTTAGGACATGGATGACTTTCATTTGAAAGATATACATACCACCCAAGTTCTCCTTCATAACGTGGCTTGCCTATAAAAATAGGCTGACCACGGGGGACAACATCACATACTTAAACTTGGTTAACATTTATGACTTGATATGGCATACTAGAAACGCAACCAGATTTTATGCTTCTCGCATGAAAGAGAAGGATGTTATAGCGAAGATCAAGCATATGTTGTACAAAATAATGTACAACCTTTACCTGAGCGAGATGATTACTTTTTGAAGTGGGATCAAAGTCATTTTTTTGTTTACGCCACTGGCTATGTGATTGTAATTATAAGTGAGTGCTCCTTGCATCACTTCTTTTTGATGATCTTTGTGCTTGCTTTTAGCAGCACCAATGATGGGTTATTGATATTTTGGGGCACCAGTAACCAGTTGCAATAGACTTGTTACTTTTCTTGGGCTTGTTACTTTTCTTGGGTGTTGATATAATTTTACATTTCATCCAAAAAAAAATCAAAAGTGATTCTTTTCTCTATTATGACTTCACACATGATAAAGAAGTCCATGAAAAATTCATCCCTAAGCCTTGCGAAACACAGGACTGGCGTTGTACACAAATTCAGTACCTGAAGGGTACGGTAGAATTCGACATTATTAAATACGGAGTACTACTCTAAGTCATGAACTTCAATTTAGTTATCCACAATCGTGGATTTTACAAAGTCTGCTTAACCTTTATAAAATTTTCAAGTTTGTTAAGAATACCAGCATGAACTCTTTTGAATGTTGAGGGGCCATTGGCTATTTATGTGCTTAAAAAAGAAGGTTATTGTTGTTATTCAAGGCATGAAGAACTGAAATTATGAAGGATTGTGATGTGGGCTGAGCATTTTGACTCATTTCCTTCTGCAATAACAAGCACGTATTAATAAATCCTACTCACTAGCTCCTTTCTGTCTATAACCAGAGTTTTCCTAGAAGGAAGGAGAGAGATAGCACACTCACTGTCTCATCCCCATTACCTGTTTTATTTTATGTACAAAAGGCTAACTGAAGAAACGAATGGTACTAAAAAAAATGTGTTTTATGGACTCAGCTGGAGACCAACCACATATAGAATGTAGACCACATAGTAAGTGAGACTGAAGCCAATCCATAAGCCCATAGCATAATTACTGAGCATTCACTTTCACCTGCTCCAAACAATTGAGTCATGGTGCCTGCGAATCGAAAATAGCTTGTGTAACTTCATTATCTACTTAGGAGTTGTACATAATATTCACTTATTCAGAAACTTCAAAAAAGTATGAACCATGGAAGAAGCTCAAGAGATCAGAGAATTATTTGATTTGTTTACTTGTGATAATCATTATGATATGCTAACAACTACATATTCTCTGTTTAATTTACAGCTCATTTAACTACTAGCTATACTAGATACAATTTATTTAGTTCATAGCTCATTCATAATTCATTACGTACATAACATATAGTAATATTTATCACAAGTTAGCAACTCTTATCTTATTGATCTTTAAGCATTGAGCCTCAATTCTTAACAAGAACGATGACATACCAATGTTCATGGCAGGTGGAACTGCATATTGAAGATACAGAACAAATTGATACAATGGATCATGGGCAACTATGCCAAAATGGATGGCTCCTTTAACAATGGCTATGCCTGTTATAGGAAGGACAATGTATCGAGCAACAATGATCCCAATAATAATGGTCTTATCTATAGATGATGATCCTCTCAAACCTGAAAATAACAAAAGGGTACTGATTTTTTATTTATTATTTTCGATGAAAAGCATAGATGGCAGATAGTATCAGTACCTTTTAAGAGGTTGGCTCCCATTATGAGTGTTACAGCCGGGATTGAACCATCCCTGCAACATAATGTATGCCTTTCAACCAAGTATTTGCAGATGTGGAATTAAATTATTACAACTCAGAACCATAATATAGCATTCTAAATATTAGACGACATGTGTGTAACTAAACTAATATTATTCAGAACCAAAAGAAGATGTGCCGGACTGACTCAAGAGTCGTGACTACCAAAGGATAACCCCCAAATGTATTGATGTTATTACTAATAAACATAGCACCGCTATTTATAGTTATTCCAATATTGCTAATAAGACTTGAGCGTATTCACTAAAATAGAAAACTTATACTCATAGGAAAGTGCAACTACTAATAATTATAGAAAATTGATTCTAAAATAAGAAACTAATAATAATAATAATAATGATGATGATGATGATGATTACTACAAGTCTACAATGATTATAAATTTATAATAACACTCCTTCACCTTTCTTGTGTGCAACTCTATCATGAGATGCGCTTGTATCAAAAACCCATTGGCTAATGAGGAATGGATTCACTGATTAGAATATACCCAAAATTTCAATATCATTGTTTATATTAGTCACTTATTACTCCAGATATGTCTAATAACCAGTTTAAATTCACTTGCCTTCCAATTTTTTTTCTAGTATATTATTGTGTATATGGATCAAAATAATATGGATTAAAATAAGCAGGCAAGGAAAAGTTCTGTTCTACCCCAGCAACAAGGCAGTATCTTGGATCACGTGAAGTGGAGCAGCATCACCAATCAGCAATTTCCTGATTTCAGGTGTAAGACCAACAATGAAACCAACAATCTGCATAGGAAATGATCACATTGGTTATGCCAATAATGTAGGGGGTAACATTGTTGAAGTTTGACAATGCCATGAAAAAAGAAGTGTACAGCTCCAGTGGTTGAAGGTGCTAATATGCTCTTCAGATTGATCTTCCTTGAAAGCATCTCAAGATACTGCTTTGCTTTAGCTCCAAAAGATGTCTGATATATTTGTACGAAAGAATATTAATCTCATCACAAGTAATGTTAAGGGAGTGTTTGCAATAGCTTGTGCTTTAAAAAAAGCACATTTTAAAGCGATTCTGGAAAAAGTGCTTAATAGTAAAAGTTGGTGGTGTTTGAAAAAAAAATGATTTTGAAAAGTAAAAACTGGTAGTGTTTGGTAAAATATGTGCTTTTTGTGTAATAGAAAAAGGTAAAAAACAGATTCTAGCTTTTAACTTTTTAGTGTTTTATTTAAGCAGGAGTTGTCACTTGAAAACACTTTTTTTAAGCCAAAAGCCGAGTAACGCTTATTTTAAGCGTTTGCAAACACTCCCTAAGTATAACTCCATCTTTCTTGAAATGAACTTCCAGTGGAAACTGGAAAGCAGAACCTTTTGTTCTGAAAATTCTTCCTTTTCAGTGATGCAGTCATTTGATGGAAGTATGAGTTCTGTGGAGCTCCCACGCTCTAACGGAGAGTGAGATTTACTGAGAGGTGAGTGAATAATTTCTATTTCCTTGGAACTCCTACTCGATGATATTCGGATGATATTGTACACATAAGACCAGAGATAAATTGCTCCGATCTGAAGTTCAAGCAGCAAGTCATCATGGCATTATTATTAGATTGAACTTACTTCCCGTCAAAAATCTGTAGATGGTTTAGTCATCTCACAAATGAATCCAATGTGTGAAATAAAATATGATAGTATATATTTGATCTTCTCTACTTATCAAAGCATCATACTTCACGATCATAGTTTACTTCAGAAATAGGCATTATAATTTGATTCATTATTAGTGCTAGCTGTACGAATCTTCTCTCCCATTGCACTAAAAACTAGTATTTGTGTCAAACCCAAAAGAAACAAATGTATCCATACCGCCATGGAAAGTGAAGCATAGCCCATTCCATACGTATGACAAATGTCAGGATCTCCAAATGGGCTGCCTTTCTCTTTACAAACTGCCGGAATTATAATAATAAGCATGTTGCCCAAGTTTCCTGTTCATATATGTAAGGAAAGAAAGCTAATAAATTACCATGTACATAAATCCTGAAAATTTTTACATTATTATACCATATGAATAGAAGACTTTGTTTTGAACAACGGAAGCTCTAAAAGTATTAAGTTCCATATATCTTATCATAAGCTTTTCAATGTTTTAGGGAAGAAAAGTGAAATCTCTCTCTAAATGCCCCCAAATTAGGTGGTATCCTCCAAGAGAGTGCAAGGCAGAGGTGTGTGTGTCTAATAATTAGTGCTGTAATGCGAAGGTATAAGTTTTTACCTCCATCAATACTAAGAATCTAAGATTAACCAAATTCTGTTTAGAAAAGGGAGTGAGAGAGAAAGAGAACTGGGAGAGAACAAGATGAGTATACAAATGAAAAATACGGAGTAATAAAAATGCATTGTTATAGTCAGTGCTTCATTATAAAAAGCATTATGGATTAAAGAACCACTGTTTTGTGTTGAAAACGTGCCATGACTCCACTTCTTTTCTTGTTAAGAAAAACTCATGTGTAAAACCCCTTCTGAAATTTGTTGCCACGCCATAGACGCTTGAATAGAGTAATAGTATCTTTGTATAGCAAGATCACGAAAGACGGCCAGGCAATTCATTACAGTGGAGCTTTCTGTGGAACTGAACAAATTTTACACAATAAGAAAAGTAAACACGAGTAAAACAAAATGAACAAAACATACCAGCCGCACAACATCCCACGATTAGCCCTCGTAGATGTTGGGGAGCTCTCGTAACCTGAACGACAACAACCCCAAGAATCGAACCAATCACAAATGTGATGAAAATGTTGAGAGGCATGAACCACCTGAAGAAAGAGTGCGTGCAACAATATACTTGAAAACACGGTTGAGTAACAAGTTGCTGCCGGGAAAAGAAAAAGAAAAACTCACATCTTTATCATGCTTTTGTACGTAATTGAATTAGCCAAGCTGCTGGACACCAAACAAGGATTAAACACGTAAAACACAATCTGCTCCACAACACAAACAGAATAGCAAGCATAAACAACCAAGTTCAAATGCTTGCCCATCCAATCTAACATGCATATAATTGACTATTAATTGATGCAAAAAATCAAAACAGAAAACAGACATACATTGTTCATATGCTTCCTTGCATCCTCTCCCAACAAATCGAAACGTTCTAATGCAAGAACAGATCCTAAACCCGTCACCAGCAGCACTTTGAGGACAGGCATTGATGCCGCAATGAACAGATCCCAGAAATTCCTCATACTTTGATTTGCCTTCACTTCTGCTACTGCTAATCAAGCTTTAACAACCAATAACCCCACTCAATCAAGTTAATTAAGGGTGTAGTAGGAACCCATCCATGTCGGTCGAACATTCAGGATAATAATAAAAAATAGTTATCGGTTCAAATAAACGATCACTTGAAACAACACAGAACACAGTAGTACGGAATATTTTTTACTTGAAGCATATTCATACAGTATTACAGTAAAAATCACTAAATCAGTCTATTTCATTTTTTGAGACGGTTTCTTTCTGGGCTGCATATACACAAGGTAAGAAGAAACAGCGATAAATCCCTTGCAGCGAAATGGAAGAAGAATTTAACCAGGATTGTAAGAACTTCCAAAATTGATTTCTGCAGCAATGATTAAGACATTTGAAGAACGAATCTACAATCAATCTCAAAATAGAAACTGAATACACGTATACAAGTCAGATATACACGCGTACGTACACAGATGCAATTCGGAACTCTGAATTGAAGAGAAGACAGAGATCCGATATGTAAGAAGTGCACAAATATATAAATATATTTATTTTATTATTATTATTATTATTATTATTATTATTATTATTATTATTATCCGGAAGCGCATGCATATCAGCGTAGCTACGGCGACGTAGGCTGATTGTACACTGCCACTGTCCTGTCCTATGTGAGGTGTCTATTTTGGAAATTTCACTTGATGGAAATGATACGATAGTACATCAGGAAGGTAGGCCACCTCAGTCCCACGTCTCATGTAGTGAACTAGTGACAAGTAATTTCAAAAATTACTCCGTCCCTTATAATTTTGACAACTTTTCTTTTATGGTTGTCCCAAAAATTTTGTCATTTTCCCTTTTAATCAATCAATTTGAGACCCATATTATTTTTCTCTCCTCTGCACAAATAATATCAGAGGTAAATTTTAATTTTTGACACTGTTTCAACACTGTTTGGCACTTTTTGACACTGTTTTGACGTAGATAACTTGTCATTTAAAGAAAGGGAAACTTGTTTTTGGGACTGCTAAAAAGGGAAAGCGGGAACTTCTTTGCAGGACGGAGGGAGTATTTATTTTGATTATTCTTCAATATTGAAGTTTCTTTAATATTCTTTTAAACCTATTATAGTATTTGCTCATATTAATATCAACATCCTTGATTGGGATGAGATTCGAACTTGCGACCTCCACTTTGGGAGATCAGCAGTGACGCCATCAGACCACAAGTTACTTGACCTTCAATTGTGAAGTTAAAAATCGTGTCTTTGGTAGTCCATAAAAAAGAATTACATCCGTCTTATGACACAATTATTAAAAAAAAGTGAGTTTATATGGTTAACATTGAACTGATAAAATCAGAATAAAGTAAGAATGATTTAAAGTGCACATTTTACCAATTTTTTAATGGAATAATCTTAGTGGGATTTTTCGAAAAAGAAAAATGAGGCAATCTTAATGTGACACAAGGAGTAGTTGATAAGCTAAAAATAAGGACTACCACATGAGCTCATTGCCTTAGCGGAGGTGATGTGATTGCCAAAAAAAATTATTTCATTATTAAATGTTGAATTGTTAAATACGAATAAAATAATAATAATTTAAGGCGTTTTTTTAGAGTTATGCTAAAAGTACAAAAATTCTTACAAAAACTCTTAAAAAAAGAATATGTGTCATCATCTCATTATTTAACACATCACATCACCTTTACAACACTTTTACATCAAAGGTAATTAGAATAGTCACATCACTTGTTTGTAAGTTTTTTTGTACTTCTAGCATTTTTTTTAAATACTACCACTAATATTCCAAAAGACATAAAAGTGGGTTTTTTGTAAAGGACATAAAAATGACTTAAGAAACAATTTTCCAATTAGGTGACTATTTATTAATTACGTGGGTTCAATAAATCAATAGTAAGGAAATTGCCACGTGTAAAATTCAGAAGGCTACATTTCATAAGCATTAAAACCAAGGTTATTAAAATCGTATTTTTGAATCGAATCGGTAGATGTTTTTAAAAATCGAATCGTAAAATCGAATCGCAAATGGTAAGATTTTACCAAACATATTTTAATAATTATAAAATAAATAAATATTAAAATTAAGTTGCAAGTTAATGATATTATATCATTTCATTACATAAAACTATATCTAAAATGTTATAAGCAAGATTTATAAACTGTTTATATAATGTAAATATATTGAATAATAACATTAAACATATGTAAAACATAAAAATAATTAGGTAACACAAGAATCCATTACTTTTATAAATAAACTATTCATATTATTATTATTGGAATTACGTATCAATTTGTAGTTGTTAATTTTAATAAATTTGAGCCATTTTCACCAAAAACAGCTTATTACGATTTTGCTACGATTTTGCTACGATTTTATACGATTCTACACGATTTTAGAACGATTTTTTTACGATTTTGTACGATTTTATGATTTTACGATTTTACCTGCGATTTGAATCGCTTTATTAATGTAGAATCGTAAAATCGTACGATTTTACGATTTAAATCGAGATTTTAACAACCTTGATTAAAACCTTCAATATTTTAGGTCACCGTGAGCTGAAATTTGAAAACATTATTTAATGATTCACTTCATCTTTTAATATCACTACATAATTACTAGATAATAATTCCGTAGGGTGTTTGGTTAACAATATATCAGCTATTTTTTGGCTGATATGACTGTATCTGGCTTTTTAACCAAAGTGTTTGGTTAGCTAGCCTTTTCAATTGACTTTTTCTTCCGTCAGCCAAAATATAGAAACACAATTGTTGGCGTTTACAATCGGCTGTTCAACATCTTTCCTATGTTGCCCACGTATTTTACGGGCTCCTCTAAGAGTGACAAAAAAAATCTGGACGCAAGCAGCCTTCTCCCACATTTTCTGCTCCTTCAACTTAAGGTATGGCTGCACTCCAAAATGGCTTTTTGGCTAATGTTGCCTACTGATTTTAAGAAGCAAGGGATGCTGGGATGGTTTAACCAGATGATAAGTATCGATAAGACATTTGAGTCAACCTCAAAGTATTGATAAGCAAAGGATGAAGACGGCCGGAAGATTGTATCGATAAGCATGAGATGGCCATGTTTAATACTACGTATAAATTGGTATAATTATTACGTACGTAGTTCGATGCATTTTTTTAAATAAAAAACGACCAAATAAAAAAATAATTGATGTCCTTAAAAGTCATTTAAGGAGTTATCAGCTGATTGTAAACAACTATTCAACCAAACACCATCTTACAAACGGCTAATTTTATAAGCCAATCAAAACAGCTAACTGAATCTAACTGAATCTGTTGTTATAAATCGGCTAACGCAACCAGCCACCAACTAATGTTCGGTATCATTTTGTACGTGCGTAAAGCTCCCCACGTGCGCATGCATGCAGTTCTCTTCAAGTTGGAGTCTTTAATATTTTAAATCATTTGGTTATTATTTTTGGATGTACATTCTTATCACGATAGCGTAGCTATTCAATAGCTTTTGTATAGGCATAGAATTCTATCCGGTTGTTACGTAGACTAGGCAACAAGTGTATATATGTATACGGCTGTTCGGCCTTTCACTAGGAAAATGGAAAAACACTTCTATTCGTCCAAATTTCTACATGGTATCAGAGCACGATCCTGAGGCCTGAACGAGGATTCTGAGTATTTCAACGAGATACTCCTTCTGAAACGATGACGAATGGTACTGGCATCGGTACCAATGAACCGGTGAAGAGGAGAATCAATGATCCGTCCTCTCCCTATTACTTATCAAACTCGGATTTTCCCGGGCTGAATATTTGCGGAATGCTGCTCAAAGGCGAAAACAATTATCGCGAATGGGCAATTGCGATGAAGAATGGCTTCCGAGCAAAACGGAAGATGGGTTTCGTAGACGGCACTATTAAACGTCCCACGAACAACCCCATGGACGAAGAAGATTGGGTGGTCGTGAACTCCATGCTGGTTGGCTGGACCATGACCGCTATCGAACCCGCACTCCGAACAAACGTGACCTATATGGAATCGGTGTTTGATTTGTGGGAAGATTTGAAGACTAGGTTTGCCGTTGGTGATCCGATGCGCATCCATGAACTGAAGGAGGCTCTTCGGGATTGCCGGCAGCGTGGTGAAACCGTTAGCACTTACTATGGGAGACTCAAGACTCTTTGGGATGATTATGATGGGTACAGGGACGTGCCACGATGTGATTGCGGGAGATGTACCTGCGACCTCGAAAAAAAGTTCTTGAAGCAGATTGAAAAGGAGAAGACACACGACTTTCTGATGGGGCTAGACACTGAAAACTTCGGTGTATTGCGGTCTAATATCCTTGGGACGGATGATCTGCCACCACTCTCTAAAGTTTATAACCTTGTAATCCAGGAGGAACGTCACATTGGCATAATGAAAGGTCGTGAAGTGAAGACTGAAGCAGTTGCCTTTGCGACTCAAATCCAATCCAGCAAAGATAATGTGAGTGTTTCCTATTTTAAAATATAGGTCTTTTATCAGAAAAACGAGATTGACTAGATCATTACTTGTTTAAAAAAACACAGTTATTATAACATAATTGTAAATGAACAAAACTCAACTCTTCAAAATTCAATAACTTAAAGTGCATGCATTCACAATATATATGCATTTTTTATATATTGATACAAACAAGTTTTTTTGAAAGGATATTGATACAAAAATTAAATGGTATAACATTTATGCATATTTTATACAACTATTAATGCATATTTTCATTACAATGATGCACTTTTCTAACGGGAATCACACCATGTGTGTGTATGTGCGCATATATTATACCGAGAAAATTTATTGGTGAGAAACATAAGTAAAATATTATGTAAGGGAGATTTAATAAAGAGAGTTTTCATTGCCGTACGCAGTGCCGATCCTACATAAACTGGGGCCTGAGTCGAGCTTTCATAAAAGGGCCCTATACATAATATTAGTTTTGTAATACAACATATTTAGAAATAGAGGATTAATATCACAAAAAACTCAATACTTAAAATAACATTCTTACTTTATAACATAAAAAATCACAATTTTGATTAATTTTGGATTGAAAATTACACAATTTTTATCACGATAATCTTAATAAAAAATAGATCTAAATTCTCAAATATAAAATATCAATTGCAAGGCATGAGCCTACTTGACTAGTTTGTAAGACAAATAAAAATCAACTTGCTTTTAATTTTTAAATAGCATTTGTTTATGCAGATACTTCAAATCCCAGCCAATAATATAAGATTTAGTAAATAGTTATAGCAAATAGTTATAGAAAATAGAAGTTAATAAGTTAGTTCATTTGGGTATTTACAAATCAATAATTCATCAAATTAGCAAATCATACTAAAAGCTAGATTTTTGGAAATAATAACATATCGACAAATTTGGGACTTCATGTTTGTACTTCACTACTTCATTGATAACTCTGTTGTCCCGCTTGTTTTTTAGTACATATAGGGGTTGTTTGGAACTGGTTTTGATTCAGCTTCTTTTTTAAAGCAGAAACATAATACGGAGTACATAAGAATAAGTTTTCAGAAGTTGGTCCCCCCAACTTCTAAAAAACTTATTGTATGAATAAATTAGAGCTCCAAAATTAGTTTTACATTTTTATCCAAACACTCTAACTTC